TTTCCACAGGCTGCGGCCGGCCACGGGATTTCAGTGGGAGCCCGAGAGCTGTCGCTCCGCAGTCACAATTAATCTGGTATGAGAGAAGCCATATGGGAGTTAAGTGAAGCCCAGGCTCCGGCTGGACCAGACCCTGCTGCAAAACACAACCGGAGCATCTGGGTCTAAATCCTTTATGGCTGGACTGAAGGGATACAACTGCTAAGACTATGGGCGGGCTCCTCCTGCAACCCAGCACCATCCTCTGTCAAGGCTTAGGAAAGAGAGCAAGACCTTGTCTATTGACCTTTAAGCTGAATCAAGCTAGAAAACATTTATTTTTGCATTTTTTTTCCTAAAAAATAAAAGTGTGCGAGCATCACTTACAAGGTGCCCCCACGGTCGCAACGCTCAGGCCTCAGCCGTATCCATCTCATTCTTTGCTCCACCTAACAAATAATAAATGGGGCTAATAAATTGGGCAAAACCCTAGGTACCGCACTGGCCGTCCTTTAGCGTTTACCTCCTGGGCTTTGCTTGAGGGAAGCACTTTGAGGGGAGATGGTGAGTGCTCACACATGGTACCCAGTGTTTTCCTCTAGAGGCTGTTGCTTATTCAGGAAACAAACCAATGATTAAAGAGTCCCTGAATCACTATCTCCCCAAAATCCAGCTGAAAAGGCAGGTTATGAGTAACTGCATCACCTGGGGCCATTGTTTTACCATTGAGTTGAAGCCCTGCTTTTAGCTGAGCAGCAGAAATAGCCAGTTGGGGACGTATCTCAATGCAACCTGAGGCGAAAAAGGGCGGAGGGAAAGGCCTTGGAGTTATGCAGAGGTTCCTGAGTCACTGCTCTTCCTGGCTGTATCAGCTGTGCTGATAAAAGATGCTTCTCTTCCCTGCATCCGGGCTGCTTTCCTAGCCTTATCCCACTACATCGGCAGGGATCTAATCTTACATACGCTCAGGAAGGGAACGTTTTGGTTTCTGAATTCAGGGTGAAGGGAAAGTAAAGAGGGGTCTAGGACCCCAGGGATTTTTCATTTCCTTATGACGGGTAAAGTTTTCTCACTTCATACCTGAGGAGCTCTGGTCTGGTCTGGTGTAGAGCTTGTGAGAGTGCAGTGTCTGCTCAGGCACGTTCTGGACCAAGGCTATTGCTATTAGATCTTGCCTTTGCTGGGGAAAAAAAAGGTGCATTTTTAAGCTCACGGTAGCTACTATGTGAAAATGTCAGTGGAGACCTGTTGAGCTGGCAGCTCTGCGAGTCACATGAAACACCTGTTACAGCCTACATTTTACCTGGGACTATTAACACTATGCTTCGGGCTGGTCTGCAGGGCAATTTTCACACCTGTGTGCTATCACGAGATTAGGACACCCAAACAGCCCTTCCCTCATACCTCCTTCTCCCAGCTTATGACCCACCATTCCCCCACCGCTTTCTGGCTCATATGAAAACACAAGAGGTCCAGTAAAGCCAGAAACTGGACACGGTGCTCAGGGCATTGCTGGAAACAAAACCACCCACCAGCAAGTGGAGTCCAGGCGTCCTTCGCACGCAGCCTGGAGAAACAAAGCAGACACCCTGTTCACACGCAGCTATCGCTCCTCGTCGCTTCCCAGCGTGCAGCAACCGAACTGCTTTCCAGCTCCAACGCACCTTGCGTCTGCCAAACGCCATGCAGACTCCGCTCCGTGCGGCGCTTCAGAGCGTTGACGACGGGCTTGCCTGGCCTTTCGGGACGCTTCCTCTCTGCAACGCTTCTTTTGGGCTTTGCTAACCACTCTGTTCACAGCATGCTGCAATGAATGTCTGTCCAGGTACAGCATGACCAAAATCCATCACTCCGAGGAGGGGTGGGCACTTCAGTCCTGCCGGCAGGATCACTTGCTTACCAAGCGCTGTGCTGGCAGGAAGACCTCTGAAATCTCAGCCACGACCAAAGGTGAGTATGTCAAAGCGCCGGGATCGTTTGTGGGAGGCAGAAATCACACTGCTTGATTCACTTCCCATTAAACGCAGGCAGCCAGAAGCTTGTAACCTCCATGATCTCTTCTTGTTTGTTTTGCTTTGGGTAACACGAACAAGGTCTGTTTTATTTCATTGACAACCATCTTTCCGTGCAAGAGCCAAGAGAACATGGCCCTGACCTCGGCAGCACAGCCTGCTCTCCTGCTGCAATTAAAATCCCCAAAGCTTCAATTTTCCATGATGCTTTCCTGTTCAGCGTTGGAGCGAATCTCAAACAACCCACATCGGGCAGTAGTTCTGTGTTGCTTGCACAGGTGCTTATCTGTCATCTGCCCTTAACCATGATTAAAAACACGTAACCTAAGGTACATCCCCACATCACGTGCAACGTGCGTAAAGAAACTCCAAACTCAATACCACCGATGCGCAACCCAAGCTTTAATGGGGAGCCTGCGAGCGCTCAGTTCTTTGCAGACACTGCTGCAGCCTCCTAACAGCGAGACCTAATTGTTAAGCTTTGCGCCTCTGTTCAGAAAGTTTGGGACACAGCACAGGCCACACGCCACCTAGCAAAGCCAGCTGCTGTCATGAATGCCACTGTGCTCTGCAAAGAGCCCTGGCTTAGGAGAGACGCGCTCTTTGGGTTTAGGCTAAAAATTTGGGTAAACCGAATATTCCAGGAATTTAGGTTACACTCAAAACAGATGTTAGTTCAGAAATTCAGGGATCTAAAGGAATTTAACCTCCTTCCCCCCAAAATGCCTGCCCTTCCCAGCTGTGTGGCAGATCTATAGACAAGCAGTCTCTCGCTTGCTCTACAAAACCTCATACATCTTCCCCCCAGCTGGGACAGAGCAGCAGACTCCGTTCAGGGTAGAAAAGCACAATATCTGTTGAACGACGGAGAATAAAATTGGCTGGATCAAAAGGAATAAAAATCGGTTGGGCTGAAAGGTTTTACTTTTGAGTCTCAAATGTATTAAGGTGGAAGCTGAGAGAAGAGCCTATATTCACTGCAGTGTCTCCAAAGAAGCTTTCCGAGAAGACTGGGTGTCTGCCACTGGAAACACTCCCAGCAAGACCGAGACGCTAGAAATCCTACAGCCTGCAGGTCAGCATTGGGGGGGCCTCTCTACCTTTTTTAAATTTTAAATGGGATCCAACTGCATTAGACTTGGATAGAAACTGATTCAAATCTCATTAGGAAAAGGGATAACTATACATAAACAAAACTGCCTTCGTTGCTTGGGTTAATTCACCACCCGCAGTTCAGCGCCCTTTCATCCAGTTGTTGCCTGGGTGTGCAGCCAGCCAGCTTGGAAAATGACCCAAGGCGACCAAATTCTCAGTGTTCCTGGTTTTGTGCCTCCTGTGACGCAAGAGAGCTCCTTCCTTTCTACATAATAGAGCAGGAACAAAGGAAAGGAATCACCTATTTGGAGCTGAGCTAAGGCACTAACGATGCAGTAGGTGAGGAAAGAGGACAGGGAGGAGGACAACTTCCCAGCCACGACATCCCAGATGATCGTTGTACTCTTTGCTCAATTGCCTTAAAAAAAGTCTCTCTATAGAAAAGGATGAGCTAATATAGTATTGTCGTATCCCTGTTGGAGTTTCATTTTAAGGTAATTTTGCTGTTCTCCCAGAGAGATTTGTTTCAGATATCGAAGTCACATGAGCTGTTTCCAAAGTGAATTTTGGTGAATGCAGACAGTTGTCTGAGTGGTTTTGGCTCGTCCCAGCTCTGCACGGGGGCTCTGTTTTGTTGGTTTGCCCCATGATTTTTTCCCCCCCAAAAAAAGAAAAAAAAAAGAAGACTGTCTCTATCCCTTTTTGGCATGATACTGAAATTAGCCATCGAACTGCTCTGACCCAGTGGGTGCAGTCTCTCTCTGTACTCAGCAGAGACGTTCCTGTCGTCATCACAGCTTGACAAAGATCGATGGCTGGCTCATCTTCTGCCCAGTGTCACTGAGGGGGAAAACACTAGAGATGGCTACATCCACAATTCCTTGGCAGAGCTCTGCATACAGCTTCCTAAGAGACAAGAGAAGAAGAGAATAAGATGCTCAAGCAAGGTAAACCAGAAGGACCGCAACCTCTTTTCACCCAGATACGCATTTTCCCAGCAAGAGCTGTAGAGTGACATACAGGAGGTGGCTGGCATCTCTCCTCCCACCCCAGGGACTGCCTTCTTTTTCAACAGTGCTGTTATTCCCAGCAGTGCTCCCTGCCAGACGGGATGACAAAACCTGTTACCCAAGTTTACTGGCAGAACAAGCTCCTAAGCAGAGTATCTACCCCCTCAGGCCCCAGCCTGGGATCACGACAAGATGCATGGGCATGAACTGAGCACCCCCTCTACCAGTCTCCCAGCTCAGGGACTCAGGAACATCATACTAGACCCTGTACAGGTGGGGACACCTCCCAGATGGGCTGCTCTGAGGCAAGCACGGCCTGAAGAAAGGCTGCACTGCTGTGCCACTGTGCACGTCAGCTTGTGGGCCAGGCATAGAGATTTCACCGGACTGGGCGTTTGAAAAATCAGTAAACAACAGCTTCGTTTTCTGCTGAAGGAAATACACGTGTAATCTCACTGAACGTGCTAGCGTCTGGTACGTTTTTAGTACCAAAGTTGTCTTTACTAGGATTAACAATGTTTTTCTCCTTCTGCAGCTGGGGCTACGTGACACTGAGATGCTTTTTGAGCTCCTGGGAATGTTCTGCTTTCGACAGCCGTTTTTTTTTTTCTCTTAAATGGGAACTGTGTGATATAGGTGCTATAAATTAGAATAGCCCCAAGAGGCAGAGCTGCAAATAGCCCAAACCTGGATCAGCTGCTTTCAATTACTTCCAAGTGCCCATGTAGGCACAAAGCAAATAAGGCATTGCTACAACCAAAATCCACATAGCAACAGCCCCTGCAACAATCCTTAATAAAATTCAAGAAGTATTTCAAAGTCTGTAACGGTGTGGCATAGCAGGGTGAGTCTCCCCATCCTTTTTGAGCCAGTCCATGTGCAGCTGCAGACTGCTGGTGCTAACTAGACCTTGACAGATTTCTGAGGAGCACTGATGTTCTCAGACCACCACCAACTGCTTTTACATGTTCTTTGAGCCTGAACACTAGGAAAACCACCCAAGGATTTGGACAAAGTTCTCTTTAGCCTCAATTTTCAAACCTTCCGATAACTGGGTGCTGATGCTGACATCACAGCTGTAAGCACGCATTATCCATGTGCATATGGAAGTCAAAGAGAATGAACACACAGGTAACGTAGTGCTAACGTTATAAAAGGTGATCCCTCAAGAAGAAGGAGGGAGAAGGAGAGAGAGACAGAAAGAGAGAGGGAGAGAGAGGGAGGGAGTGAATGACAGGGTGAGGGAACAGAAGGAAAGGGAGAGGGATGGAGAGGAAGGAAGGGAGGGAGAGAAAGGAATCATCTGTCAAGATCCAGTTTCTCCCACCAAAGAGACCATGACCTGGTCAGCAGCTTTCGTGAATCAGTGTGCAGCTATATTAATGATCAGTGAGACATATCAAACCATGTACAGCCTGTTCTATTTTGCTGGGTTTGCATACAGTATAGATGCCGATTTAGCAAAGCTTTCTAGCGTCCTTATCTTCTGCAGTTGTCTCGATCACATAATACAGCAGCTCCTGCTGTCCCAATGCAGGTATGGTTCATGGCCGTGGTTGGTTGTCACAGCCTCCCTGTTGCTGGTGGAGGCTTTGACCCAACATCCGCAGCACCCACAGTTGTGCTTGGGGTCCGGCTCGCTGCAAATTCAGTCACTTGCTTCCAACAACTGCCCTCAAGGCTATTGATTTATCTTGCGTTCTGGTCTGGTGAAGTCCAGCTGCCATTGCCTCTACAAGTGAGACTAAGAAACCACCTGAACCCCCAGCTGTTAATTCTGCAACTTACCTTCAACTCAACAGTGCCAATTAAAAAGGACCATAGTTATAAATCCATTTGTCCAGAAACTGAGGGTAGGGCCCCAAACTCATCTTGGAAAGAAGCTGGATACCAAGCACAGAGGCAAGAGCAACAAACTTACATCGGCTGGAATGAGTTAGCCCGGAAAACCTGCCTGCCATTCAACTGTTTCCACCTTTTTTTACTTGGAGCTGGAACCCAGCCACGTTTTTTGGTGAGCTGGTGATACAGTATGATCATACAGCAAGCGTATTACAGAAACTGACTACTCACTGGGCACAAGCCGGGGCCCCATTGACCTCTATCAGCCAGACTTTCAGCTCCTCATCAACCATGAAGTCAAAGCCAAAGAGCTGGAAGCTCTGGTAATGAAGATGCTTTGTACTGATTGCAGGCTCTATACACATAAGGCAGCTTCTGTGAAGGGAGAAACAGAAACGCAGGATTAAAAATCCTCCAGGTGTATCAGTTGCACTGCAGCCTCCGAGGGCTGTACACAGCGCGGTTAAGTGGAGGGGACCTCTCTTGCCTTGGGACTGGCTGGAGGAGCAAGTGGAGGGAGCAACACTTTCTGCAACTGACACAAACAAGCAGGCAGTGCCCCTCTGCAGCTCCATCAGACTTGGCTTGTGCTGCGAGTCCTCAGCATCTTGGAGAACCTGAGGGACTTTTTCTTTGTAAGCCTTTGTAGTAAAGGCAAGCTTGGAGGCCTGATATTTGCATGTCATTTACCAGCCCCTGAATTACAAGCTACATCCAACACGTGTCATGACAACCAAGTCCCTGTAAGTGAGATGATGCAACTATCAAAACAGTATGTCGACAGTTCATAAACCCTTAGATACTCTGAGTGAACTCCCAAAGAGCTGGGAATATATTGAGCTGGGAGCTCAATACTGGATTGGGCAGGTGGAAAAAGAGGATGTGCAATTACCACCTGGAGCAGAACGCAGAGCTGCAAAGGCCTGTACAAGGTCCCCCGGGGAGCTGCTGCTCAGAAATCATTTGCCTCTGAGTCCCTCAAAGATTGTGTCATGTCTTTTCAGTGTAAATGACAGCAGTGGAGCTTTTGCAAAGCAAATTCTGCTACGGAGGATCACGTTGTCACGACCTGGTCTCTCTGTGGCAGCATGATCTCTAAGAGAATTCTCTTCAGGCTCTTTCCATTCGCGCTCAGGAAGGAGCTGGTAGTGCTAGTCAGCTCTCTGTGGACTGAATAGGACAAGAGGACCTGTGCCAACATGTTTCACTGCTGTCTGCACAGTAGGGGAGCAGTGAGATCCTGCAGACTTGGTCCTGTTTCATTTCCCCTATTAAGCCTTATGTCTGTCACCTCAACCTCTCCTTGTCCTGTCTTTCCACCCCTTGCCTTCTCCAGCTTCTTGTCCCAGCTGGTAAATCCCATCTCCCTCACCAAGGGATCTGATTGGTGGCAAAACAGAGACACACACCCTTCAGAGCACGGCACCTCTAGAGTCCCTTTTCTCTCTTTTCATTGAGTAACGACATTGGGGCGTTTCTGGCTTTATCTTAAATTTGTCTCTGGCTCACAATCCCTGACCCATGCAACTGAAGCACTTCCCTTGTCTGTCTGCCTGTTAACCCAGCTGTGCCCATACACGTTCCTTACTACCAAAGGGTTAACGTTCCCGTACACAAAAGGCAGCTGGTTACCTTATTATGTGTTTGATTTGCAGTAAGATGCTATTCTCAAGTGTCGTGTTCAGGGCATTCATCAGGTACTGGTTGAATTCCTCAAAGAACATTTCGTTCCCTTCCTCATACCGCCCGTAGTTTTTGGAATATTCCTTCTGAATGCAGTGATTGGTCAAGTGGCAGGTTTTGTCCTGGAAATTAGCACTGTTATATGGTTCGGAAGAGGTCCGCAGGACACCCTCTCTGTAGAGGTAGATATTATATTGATGATCCACGAGAACCCAGCTCCTGGGAGGGACAGGAGAACAAGCCCAAGTCTCAGTGGCTTAAAAAGAAACCACACAGAAATGCAAACCGATGTTACTAAGACCACGCAGAAAAGCTTACCTGATGTCAAACTTGCGATGCCCTGGCTCCAAAAGCAGAGGCTTCTCTAGATATTTCTGAATCACATGCACTTGTCCCTGCTCATCAATGAAGTCCAGGAGCTCTGCAGCTTCCGAAGAAATCAAGATCCCTTCCCCTGGCACAGAAAGGTAAAGACAAAATTAGGCAGAGGATCCTCCTACCTTAGTCGGAGCTTTGTCAAAGGCTAAACAGACCATGGCTCATTCTCCGAGAAAGCCAGGAGATGTGCAAAAACCCACAGCCTCAGGGCTGGTCAGTGCAGGAGCGATGCCATGTCTGCTCAGCATCAGGCAGTAATTTTGCTGAGGGATCTCCTTCTCCCATGCTACCAGGAGTTTGGCTCCCCAGTGACTGCAGCTAAAGCAGATGGGAAATGAGGGTATGGCCTGCACAGGGCTCGCCTGCAGGGGGCTGGCTACTTAGGTGTGAGTGGGTGCACAGAAGACAGGGATCCTGGCAGGCAGTGAGGCAACTGCTTGGTTTGGGAGATTTTATTTCCTTTTATGCCGTGTCTTCTTGCAGCAGGGCTTTGCTGGGGGTGTTTTCTTCAGCACTATTTGAATTTGTTTTGTTTTTCCTGCAGTTTGGGGGGGGGCCAGGGTTTTTGGAATTTTGTTTGTGAGGTTTTTCTTTATTCGGTTTATTTGAGGAAGGGGATTTAAACCTTGATTCAGAATTTCTCCCCCTCTCAGCTGCCTGGCTTCTCTCTCTGCCAGACAGTCACATGCGCATACACGCGCAAACAATGTTCCCCTGCTAAGTCTGTTTAAGTTACTGTTAAAACAATCACTGAATTAGGCAAAGAACTTTCTCAAAACGCTTCTGCTATCTGTGTTTTCCCATGCTGTGAAACCCCTTCAGTAAAGAGGTCAGACCCATCTTTCAACTACTGCCTGCTTTTGGCTGAAGTTGTCACTGTCCATTTCTTGCAAGTCCAAATATGAAACCACTGTTGCAAAGCAATGAAAACAGAGTATATCCCTTCTGGGAGTTGATAACGGGACGGCATGGTGCTGCAGTAGCGATGAACCAGCTTGGGTAAAATTATCTTAACAGCTCTCTGGCACTACATCTAGTCCTCAGGCCTTTAACTAACCTTTTGGAGTAAAGCTGATGATTTAGTCTTCATTTGGTGCTTAGTTTACTGGAGGAAATACTAAGTGAAGAGAGACACATGCTCTTCAAGGAGGCACCAGTGAGAGAGCACTGGTTTGGAGCACATGCAGGTTTTGCCAGGAGCATCCCATGGGAGTTACAGCTCCTAGCTGGGACTCCCGAAGGTCACTGTTGAGACAGTCCCGCAGGGACTTTCTACACTCACTGCTCTATGCTTTGCATACCTGCTGGTACGTACCCCACTGACTCCCTTTCCTTCTCAGCATCTTCCACCAAAAGGGAGTACTTTCATCAAAGTACCGTTCTCCTCCTCCTCCTCCTATTTTTATTTTTTGGAAGGATGTTCTTAGTCCCCTGATCACAGCAGAGCTAAGCAAACACTTGCATTGGTACAGCCACAACGCTATGCACTGGGAAAAGGAGGGAAGCAACATATTTTTAAACCAGTACTGCCAGTAAAATTTGCAGTGGGAAAATCAGCAGGCATCAGTTCTGCCCTGGACAGATGGTGAATCTCATGAGGAGGGAGTTAGCTTAACTGCGTACCTACCCAGCAAGCCAGCAAAGCAGCTTATGTGGGGCCGCTGTCCCTTTTCTCAAAAACATCTAGCCCCAGTTGAAAATTTTAAGTCAGGACATCCTAAACCTTTTAATTTTCCTTTTACTGACGGACAATCAAGCTTCACTAGAACTGTCCTGAGCCAGGGGCCGTCTGAGCCAGATCTGCCTGGGCAATTAATGGTGGAAAGCTTTCTTCTTTGCTGGAAGTAATCCCCAGACTTTTAGAAGTGCTGTCTAGAAGATTAGCATGAGGCTCTGCTTTCCAGTTTAAATTCCAACTTGGGTTCTGCAGCACATGATGAATACAAGGGGTTACTTTGTTTTAATTACAAGAAAAAGAGGATGGGATCACACTCGATTAAAGTCTGTGGAGAGTTTAAACCTCTCTCTGCTACAGCAAACAACAGCAAAGGCCTTTTCAATCGTCCAGACTGGTTCTTTGCCAGACAGCTAAACCCACACAGACACGCTTCCCCCTCAGTGGAGGGACGAAAGGACTCGTCTCCCCTTCCCCCTTGATGAAGGCAAACATGCTCTTCTGATGCTTCTGGGTAGCAGAGCCAAGAGAGCAGAGCAATGGAAGAAGCCTGCATGAAGGATGGTTTTATCATGCAGCCTCCTCACAGCCACCTCTGGCTTTCACATTCCCTGTTGATTTTTGTAAGATTTCATCACAAGCGACTGCAAATACGTATAACGCTTGTGGGCTTGTTCCCTTTGAAAAGACCAGGTCATTACTCAGGCCTGGCTCTGCTGTCTGAGGTCTGCACACACGGCAAGGCGAATTCTTATGATGCAAATCTGATAACATGCCAGTGATACTGCTGTAACTGACAGACGTTAGGAGACATCGTTACCAAAGTACTACACCTACAGTTGTGTCCAGCTATATCTTCTAATAGCTAATTATTTCTGTGGAACAAGCAGTGTGATGGCCCTAAACAAGGAGGGACACATGGCTATGTAGATATCTATTGCCTTAGTGTCATTAAAGGGAAACACAGATATTGCATTGCTTGTATTTGCTCTGGTACCCGCCCCTGAGGTTTGGGTGTAATTTGGGTGCACTGAGTTCGAGGCCGCCCAGTCAGTCTCCAGTTTGAAAACGGCTAGGCCGCTGGGTGCCAGGCATTCGGGTTCGGCTGGAAGATAAGCAGTGGTACTTCTGCCCAGCTGAAATCAGCCTCAGATGTGGTAGGGAGAACTGGGCTCCCCACCCTCGCTTGCTGTCCTTGCTGGCCTCCTCCCCTTCTGCTGTTCTGCTCCTCGTTTCTCCTGCTCTCCACATTCCTCTTGCCTATTCCCAGCTCCCTGCTGCCTTCTCCCTGCAGCAAACCTTCGTGTTGAGATGCATGAGTGGAAAAAGGGGGATCCCTTCATCGCCATCCATGTCGTAGGGAGCACATGCATACTATGATGCGTGTCAGGGGCCCCATGCCACCAAGCGGAGAAAGCAGAGACCTATGCTGGCCTGACTGGTGTGCAGTTGGTCGGAAAGGCAGGCTAGAAAGGCAGACAGGCTAGAGATAAGCTGGACTCCGCCAAAGCCCCGTGACTCTACAGACCAAGAAAAGAGTAAAGAATAACAAGAAGGCGGCTTGTTTTGCTGCAGAACGAACCTTTGGCACCAGCTGAGGACTTGGCGATCCACACGTTGCCTTCTTTGCCTTCCCGCCGCCTGTTGAAAGCTGCCAGGAACACTTCCCGCTCATCTGTCCGTGTGTTGTTTATGAGATGACGAATTCCATTCTGTGCTGGAGCCACAGGGGTCTTTAGGTTTGTTGGGTAAATCACATACGACTCAGGGAACCACGTGCAGGACTCTGACAGCTCAGGGCTCGTCTTGATGAGCCTGGGTAAAGAGAGACAGGCTGTTAATCTCCAGTGCCTCCCCACCTGCGAGGACAAAATGTAGTAAGTACAAACCCTCCTCACAAAGCAAAAGGGCCAGTCGGTGAATAGCAGTTAGCACAGAGTCTGTGACAAATTATTATATTTTTCTTAGCCCCTGGAAATTAGGGTTTTCCTAAAGAGATCACGGCACCCCCAAGCTGCAGCCGAGCCCTGCTCTTTGAACCAGACCTACAATCTTTCATTAAACATTTCGTGGGTATTATGGATATCATGAAACAATCAGTAGAGAAGTTCACATAGAACTAGCGCTTGTGATGGACTCCCTGCCTCATCTCTGCACAAGGTCACTGGGGATGCTCCGCATTGCTAATGCGGAGTGACGGGAAGGTATGCCGCAAGGTGTAATAGGTCAGGAAGGAAGCTGTAACCACAGTGGGGAAAAGGGAAGCCAGAGCAGTAATGTTCTCTACGCTGGCGCTTAGCTCTTGATCCCATCCCCATCGAGATCAAGATAGGTTTCCCAACTGTGGGTGAAGACCACTGGGAACCTACCGAAGGCAAGGACACAGCCACACATTTCACGTCCTGAGGTCTCTGGACTCCCTCTTGCATCATGCAGCCTCTGCTCCCTCTGGCAGATATTCTCTCTTACAGTTCTGTCTAAGAGATGCCAGCGAACTCCCATCACCGGAGGCCAGGCCTGCTTTCTTTCAGAGCTGAGGGAGCTCCCTGCCTCTCTGAACGTTCACTCTGTTTTGCTTAAGGCCAGAGCAGAACTATCGACTTGCTGATGCTTTCTGCACACTTGTGCCTCTCTGTTGAAACGGCAGTCAGTCAGTGACACCCTGGGATGCCTGCATCAGAGGAATGCCATTTGTGGTCCTTTGGGGCTCATAAGTAGCTTGATGTGCTGTTGTGCTGCAGACCACGGGCTGCAGAGAAATACAGGTGGGGAGCTCAGCGAATGCTTGCTTAAAAATACACTGTTAGTTCCTGACAAACACCATCACCACTATGGGAAAAGTACGTGGGGACGGGTTCTCTGTAGGGGAAGGACAGGCCTCGGACCAGCATATGTTGTCTGCAGGACTCTAACAGCAAGAGGAAGGGCAGACACTAACGTGGAATCCAACGCTTGAAGGAGACCAGCAGCTCTGACATGAAGATGGCCTAACAGCTGCAGAGCTAGCACATGGGCTGTAGCCATCTACAGTGAAAGCTCACCCCCAATGCCCCAGGAGACCCTGGCACGGCTGGTCATGCAGAAATAATTCCCCAAGCCAGCTCTTCCTGCAGATGTCTCTGAGCATTTGTTTGGCCAATAAATCTGATTGGCCAAAGACACATTAGTGCCTCCTCCCTGTATGATATAGAGAATAAAATCCATCCATAAGGAAAAAAGACCAGATACTGGGGTTTTTTTTTCCCCCCTTCATGGAGACAAGCACAGGAGTCTGACGACAGCACAAGCTACCACAATGCCAGGGCAGATTTTGCCAGCTGTTCTCTGTGAAACACCCTCAGAACAGGTTCCACGCTTGAAAACGGTTAGAAGAAAAGTTCCTGCCGATCCCACCTAACATTTCAGTGACTTTCTTACTTCACCAGAGATGCTTTGCGGCACAGCTTGTCTGCTCCCCTGTAGTAATTCACCAGCTGCACAAGCCCGGGTTCATGGCCTACAAGAGGAAACAGAAACGAGACAAATTTCTCAATTAACAAACAAAAAACATCAGCTTGGTGCAAAGAACCTATGTAGTTGTGAAGTGAGGCCACTTCCTTGCCCTGTATCGCAGATGTGAGCTCTAGGCTGATACTGGCTCCTGCATTTTTTTTAAAGTTAAGAAAAATCATGCATTTATTCAAGTCTGTTTTGAACGTGACACTCCCATTTTCCTCAGGAGAATGACTTCCTAGTTCACATTGGGAACTGACAGAACCATCCCAAAAACGTTCCCTGTCTGCTAGTAGCGGTTTTTAAAAGTCAGGCTTTCAGTTACTCTAAGCGCAGGGTAAAGATGCAGGGAAGCGCACTGTGACACAAAGATCACAGCTCAGGAAACGCCTTGTTTGTCATTTACAGTCAAATTCCTGTCAGGACCAGATGTCGTGAAACACGGGGAAACGTCAAAAGAATTTGAGTCTTGCTTCCCTATGGCAGCACACAGCAATTCCCCCTGCCCAATAACTGGGGTGGGATGGGACCTCTGGGGTCTCTGCTCCAACCTCTGCTTGAAGGCTGGACAGTTGAAGGCCGAGCAGATCCAAGGATGAAGATCCCACTGGTTCTCTGGGCCTCTGTCCCTGCGTTTGACTGCCATCCTGTGTTCCCCAGACTCTCCCGACGGCCTCCGTTGGAGTCGTTCCAGGATGTCAACGTCTTTCTTGTGCTGGGAAACCCCAAATCGGTCCCATTATCCAGCCAAATAAAGCACCAAACAGAAGTGCCAGACAGATGGGTGCATCCTTGCTAGTACTGGACATCACACGGTGGCCTGCCTTCCCTCACCCTCTCCAGCTACACGAACACCTGTGCTCAGCTGGAGGCTCCCTCGGGGGACAGGACGGCAGCAGTCATCGAAAGCGTAGCGCAAATCCGGGAGAGAGGTGTGCAGTCTCTAGCACACCACTAGCGCAGCCGAGCCTGCATGTGTGAGGGGTGAGTGACACAGCAGGCGACGCCTGGGTCCCTGATGACAGCATCTGACAAGCAAGGGAAACACGACGGCAAAGTGTTCTGGTTTGACGTGATCCCTAGGACCACTGAGATCCCCCAAGCACAACAGTGTGCTGCTTCTTCACCTTCTCTTTTCAAACAAATGCTTCAGGGCGTGACTTAGACCCTGAAACAGGATTCAGAGTCTTGGTGTCTGCCTGGCAGAAAAGGCCTGGAACAAACATTCCCTTAAAAACCAGGCAGCTGCAAGATCACAGGTACTGGCTACGTATTTCAACCCCGAAATCATGGACCTGTACTGGGTCGCTATTTGATTCCCAGCTCTTTAAATACAAGATAGCTGACAACCACCTTCCAGCCAAAGATCTGCACCTTCAGGTACTTCTCCGTGCCGCCAGCACTGCCAGGCACTAAATTCCTGAAATAAATTAGTATAAGCTGTCAAATTTCTTTTTGTTTCTCGTTTATTGACTTCGCTTGGTTCCCAGGAGACTCTGAGCGGCCTCTGCCCCCCCCCC